GATTCCAATGGGCGCGAGTATTATTGTCAGGTCGAGACCAACGAGACGATGTGGGAGCACCCGGTGCGACTTGTTTAAAGTTTGGTCCTCTTTGTTAATATTGCCGTTGCATCTGGCCTGTGTATATGTGCATATAGTGGCCTTTGGTCTAGTCCGCTACCATGCCTGGGTTGTGGGCCAGAGACTATTAGATGCCTGCTGAGGTTTCGTGGGATGCCTTTCCTGGGCCTCTTAGAGGCCTATTGAGGGACTTCTGGGATTCTCTTCATGGCCTCTCGGGCGCTGCTGGGGGAATCCGCGGAGCATGTTGGATGTCTTTGGGCAATCTTTGGGGAGAGGGCTCCAAAAGCCCCTTCGCTTTCCCCCTCGTGGGGCGTCTTGGAGGACCACGGGCCTGTCTCGAGGCCGTCTTGGGCCGTCTCGGAGCGCTCGTAGGCCGCTTCGGGGCCTTGGACCGTCCTGGATCCCTCTGAAGAGCCTCTTGGCCAGTCTTGGGTGTTTTAGCATCTGGAACAGTGATGCGGGGCGCCCCATGAATCACGCGGCGATCCCCGAAAAATCCGGCCATTTTGGCTCAAGGTCTTCTGAAGAGCGCTTAGGAAATTCAACACAGAGAGTTCGAAGGAGTTTGAAGACACTCCACGGTCCGCCCTCGCGTCCGTTTCCCTCCCCCCACATTTTCCGTTGCTATTCCCGGGAGCTTTGTGGACAATACGGCAAGCGTCTCAGCTATCATCTGCGCGCTTGTCAGCAGCGTTGTCTGCGAGTCAGCTGGTGACGACCCGTCATAGTCCGAACATGCAGGGGGCGCCGCACCGAGCAAGTGCTTGCGTCCAGGGGGGGCCCATGGGCCGCTGAGGACAGGGAGGGGTCAGAGCAGGGGGATAGCCCCGATAGGTCTTTAGAAATCCCCTGGCCAGTAGATGGAAAGTAAATATCTTTCGGGCGAATTTATTGACAACTCGGAAAAACGACCCCACCCGGCAATAGCGGAAAATCATTATAGTTCGGGCGGTCCTTTTTTTTGCGAGCAGTTATGACAGGTCGTCAGCAGCAAACGCAACACCATAGTGGAATCAGCAAAAATGCAACACCACAGCAACAGGCGTGCGCGCGTGTAGGGTTGCCCATGCGGTATATTCCCCGGGAGAAATATCCCACCGACAATAGCACACCCGCCGCCCATTACAGAGCATGTGTTCATGTGTCGCTTCGAGCACCGTTCAATTCCGATTGAACTGCGTAGGGGGCATTTGCTAAATTGTTGCTTGCTCTGTGCGCGAGCAGGAAACACTTCAAAAAAATCCGAGAAGGATTTGTACAACGGCCTTCTTGAGATTGATCTCAAAAATCCACCCACGTGTAGGTTTTCCCATGCGGCATTATTCCCTGGGAGAAATAACCCACCACCAATACCCCGCCCGGCGGCCATTAATGCGAATTAGTATCTCCGCGCCCTGCCGTCGTGAGAGCCGATCAATTTCGCGCATAACGCAAAGGTAAGGTAAGTTGATCTTACAATCCCTACGAGAACGCCATCATGAAATATTGCAATTCTTGGAAAACCGTTAAAAAGAATGAAAAATGTGATAGCAATCCCTTTCAGATTGCGCTTTGAAATCCTCACGCGTGCAGGGTTGGTTGCCCATGCAGTAGTATCCCCTGGCCCACCGACAATAGCACCCCCACCGCCCATTACAGGGCATGTATCCATGTGTCGCTTCGAGCACCGCTCAAGTCTTAATGAAAGTGTTGTTTGCTCTGTGCGCGAGCAGAGAACATTACAAGAATTCTGAATGGGATTCATACAACGGCTTTTTTACACAAGATGCCAAAAATCCTCCCACGTGTAGGGTTGCCCATGCGGCATTATTCCCTGGGAGCAATAACCCACCACCAATACCCATCCCTACGGCCACTAGTGGGAATTATTCCCCCGTGCACTGCCGTCGTGCGGACCGATCACCCTCCAGCGTAATATCAAGATACTGCAAGTTGATATGATAATCCCTACACGAACGCTCTCATAGAAGATTGCACTGCCAATAACAACTCTTGCGAAAACAGAAAACAATCTCTATTGCAAGCCTTTCAAATTGGACTCACAGAGCTTATACATCGTGCGAAATACAAAGCTCCAGTGCCAGCTTCATCAACCTCATCCTCCTCTCTTCTCCTCCTCCTTCTTCTTCTCTCCTCCTCCTCCTCCTCCTCCCCCTCCTCCTCCTCCTCCTCCTCCTCCTCCTCATCCTCCTCCTCCTCCTCCTCCTCATCCTCTCAGACACTCTGTCCTCAAAAACTCTCTCTCCCCCCGCGAGGGCTGCCACACTCACATGCGGACCCTGTCGTTCTCAGCTGCCACAGAGAAAATCACCGCTCGCAAATCTGTAACATGCGGGACAAAGTCATGCTGCTCAAGCATGGGGTTGGCTCAGGAATTCACACGCTCACATGTTTCAGGAACAACACGAGCCCTCCATCCTTGAAGCTGCTGCAAACTTTTAAGACGAATGTGCGCGGCGCTAAGGCGAGATCTGCACTTTGAACAACACGAGCCCTCCATCCTTGAAACTGTTGCAAACTTTTAAGACGAATGTGCGCGGCGCTAAGGCGAGAGCTGCACTTTGAGGAGGAGGAGAGGTTTCGGGAGCGGACGAGTTTCGGGACGAGTTTATTCACCGCGGAGAGCTCCAGGGGGGGGGACCAAAACTAAAGACGTATAGAGGTTACGGATTTTCTTGTCATTTCTGTGGAGGTCAGTATGTCCCTAGAGTCCCTGCGGATCCCCTGCGGACTTTAAAGTCGAGTAAACTGGCGGGCCTCATTCCCCCCGTCGTTCTAACCAAGCCATCCATCAAGAGTGCAGAATGCCCTGAAAGGTGCCAAGAAAGACTCACCATGTGTCGTCGTCTTTTCTATGCCGGTTCTCTTGCTGGCGAGGTCGCACCCCCAAATGGCCGCCACAGTTGGCAAGAGCACGCATGCACGTTCACAGTGCGGGAGCATTGCCACACGCTTGCAAGCCCCACGCAGGTTCGGCAGGCCAAGAGTCGAACATTGACAGTCATTCGCTTTATTTGACCGAGCACGGTTTAGCTGTCCCTGGCCACGACACAAACATCGCACACAGGAAGAGAAAGGTTGCGCTAGATCTCTTTGGTCCATGCAAAAACGAGGTAAAGTATGCACATCATGTCCTTGGAAGACTGGGACTTGGACGTTGACAGAGAGAGAGATGGAGAGAGGAATCAAGAACGAGTGGGAGGAGAGAAGAGCGACGAAAGAACGGCGGGGAGGGAGGGAGGAGGGACGGAGGACGAGGGAGATGGTGAGAAAAAGAGGAAGCGAGTAGCGAGCAAGGTAAGGGCAGAAGAGACAGCGAGAGCGGAAGAGAGAGAGAGAGAGAGAGAGAGAGACGAAGAAGAGGGGAGCGGGAACGACAGACGAGGGAGGGTGCACGAACCAGTCGGGAGAGGGAAGAATGAGGAGGACGGCGCGAGGAGGGAGGATGAAGGAGCCCGCTGAGAGGCAGTTTGTCCCAGGCTGGGCCAAGATCCCCCCCCCCTGCCGAGGCGGCCTCGAGAGGGCCCCCATCCATGGCCGTCCCAGGCCAGCCTGCCCAGGGCAGGCCAAGCGGCCTCGCGGCCCTCACCCCTCAGACCTCCCAGGACGGCGGCCCTCGTCCTCCTCCTCCTCCTCGTCCTCCTCCTCCTCCTCCTCCTCCTCCTCGTCCTCCTCCTCCTCCTCCTCCTCCTCCTCCTCCTCCTCCTCCTCTTTCCCCCCTCAAGCTTATGGCGGTGGTGGTGGTGGAAAAGAGTTCCCTCAGACCTCCCAAGACGGCGGCCTCGGGGCCCTCCCAACGACTCGGAAAGACGCCCCCAGATCAGGAGGTGATGGATCCGGAGGATCATGAAACGATGGGTGTGTGGGCAGGGGGCGACGGCGAGGAGTGGGAGGAGCGAGGAAACAGGGGAGCAGGGAGGGAGGGAGAAGGGAGGGAAAGAAGAGGATGACGAGGAGCAGGAGGAGGATGATGATGAGGAGGAGGAGCAGCGGCAAGACGAAGAGAGGAAGACGAAGAGGGGAAGACGATGAGGGGACGCGCAGGAGCGGGAGGAGAAGGAGGGCGACGAGGAGGAGGAGAGTCTGGAAGAGCAGGAAGAGCAGGAGAGTTCTTCCAGGAACTAGAATGTGATGAGGAAAAGGAGCACATGTACTAAGAAGAATGATGGAGGGAAACAGTGTGGAGAGGTACCAGCGCACTGCAGGAAGAAGAAGAGGGAGAGGAAGACGTGATGGGTACCACGAACCATTTCTCTTCCAAGCTGGGGGTCTGCACCGCAAGCGAATCAGAAGGCGTGCGATCATCCACTAGGACGTGAACGCGCCGCGAAGCGCGTGAGATGATTCTCGCACGTTGCACAGACATCGTCGTTACGAAAGTTCAGTCAACATGCAGCGGTTCCGTTAGGCGGCGAGGCCGCACTGCAATGTTGCCTAGGTGCGTCCCGCTGCTTCGGGCAGCGATTCCGCACAGCTTGGCCACCAGCCCAGGAATATTTCACCTATGTTATAATTGTGTTTGGTGTGGAAGTCCTCAGCGAAATCGCCGTTTGGAGCTTGGACGGGCGAGTTTCTATTGCGGCCGAAGATTGCTCTTCAAGAAGTATTGGGCGGAATCGCAATGACGATTGGGAAACGACGAGCTTCGACACCATGCCGAAGTTTTCTCGAGGACGTCACAAGCGGGAACCGTACTGTTCCAACAGTGTTTGCTTGCACTTAGGGGATTATACTTGTCGTCTGGGGAACTGGGCGTGTGGGTCGGTGTGGCGGCTTTTTGGTCGCCGTCGCCGCCCGTCGTCTGGGCCTGGGGGTTGGTCTGGCGGCTATGTCGTCGCCGTCGCCTTCTTCGTCGCCGCCCGTCGTCCCTTCTGTTTCCAGACACGCTGGCGTGCTAGTTCCCTTGCCTCCCAAAGGCGGCCCGTGTAATTTTAGTGGTGGCGGGCAAGCACGCTGGCGAAGACCTCCGACAGTCCCCTTTTTACGGCCAGAAAGATACC